GTTTGTATACCCCCTCCCTTCATTTTATGTAAGCCGCCCTGAGTCCCCTCAGGGAAAAGGGCGGCCTATAAGTATTAATAAATACTCAAATACTCTCTGTGTCTGAGGCAGAGAGGGGGTTCAGAGCTGTATGCCAGTTATCAGTTGCCTTCAGTGTCAGACATCAGTGAGGCAGACGAACAGCTGTTCCCAGTGTGCATATGCACAGAGTTGCCAAAAGAAAAGAACAACTCAGAAATCAGGGTAGATTTAAGAGTAAAGTCACAGGTGGAAAGTGATTGGCCCCTCCCATGGGAAATAAAAGAGGAGCGAAAAGAGAGTGGGCATTTGCAGGAAACAATTTGTTTGTTCAGTTGTTAGATTCATTTCAAGAGTGTGAAGATCTGTCCATGAATCTCAGAGACTCTGTGCCCAGTCTTTCCTTGCACAGCCCCTCATTTGGAAAATATTTACATGGCAGCTTTCCAAGACAGATCAAAGTCTGTAGTCAAATATTCCTTTGAAAGACTCTTTGCCAGGCCTTGCTGAATGTGAATGAGAGGAATTCACATTCATTTAATAAAAGGTGTTTTGTCAGGATCAGGACTCTGCCTCATGCTTTTTGGGGAAGCCTAGGTCAGAACATATACTACGTCATCTATTCCAGTTTGGTCTTCTCTGACTAGCAGTTGGCTTCCAGAGATCTTTCTTATCACATGTTTGACAGTCCTTTAAGTGAAGACAGCAACAAGTACTGTATGGCTTTCAGCATGCAAAGTATTGTACCTCCTATATGACTGAGCTAGCATCTTCTACTTGTTTTCATTCATATCTGTCACACAGTAGTAGAGGACTTGAAATATTACCACTGAAGTCGTATCTGGTTCTACCAACAACTTTCTTATTAAACATGGGGACCCTCAACACTTAATGAACACTGGAGTCAGAGCCACATAACATTTTCAGCACAATGATAAAAGTAAAACTGCCTTGTGTTAAAGCCCACCTGCTATTCTTCAGCCTGGCAATCCCATCTGTGCCATTATACAAGTGTGAAAAGAGGGGAACATGGATATTCTCTTCCTGCAATGCAGTCACGCTCTTTGGTAGGAAAAACCCCAGGGACCAATCAACAGCCACTCAAACTTTCAAAGTGCATTTTCCTGCCTGGATCCCTTGTAGATCATACAAAGAGACTCATATATGACTCCAGGAAACACTGATAAAAACATTTAGCCAATTAATACATTTAGAGTCAGCTGCAAGGTTTATTGACTGGAATAGAAAACTTTTTATTAAAAATATGTAAATATATTTGGCCCTTATCATTGGCCAATATATCCATGGGGGATTGAATCTGTCTAGGATATTTTTCTCAAAACTAAAGCATGTTCCTAAAAGGTAAAACAGAATACATACATATTCCAGCTTTTTAAAAAAACTCTGAAAGAAAACACAGTAAGACTTTTTTTAAATAGGAGGGGGAGAAAATGTACTATTAAATGGTTGAGATCCTTCTAAGCAACAAGACAAATTTATGTGATATATAGCCTGACAACCAGGAGTTATATTAAAAAAAATCTGAACATCAAGCATTAATGTCCTGAGGAACTCTGGGATATGAAGTTTATACTTTCATAATAGAGAACATATTCCAGTACTGGATTAGAGCAGACTGTTTTTCTGATTGTAAGGAAAGAGCCAGAAGTTGGCATCACTGAATACCAGCTGAGACCCATACTTCAGCAGGCTCCTCTGATGACTACCAGAAGGACTTAGCCATGTGGCTGCTTCTCTTGCCATTTTGCCATTTTTACCTTCTCATCTCTTCTGTCCCTCTATCCCAGTTGGGAAAGGAGCAGGCGGGCATTTGTTTTCCTTTTATCTCTAGTTATCAGTGGAGATCTGTCCTATATGAAGAACAGGAGGGAAATTGGGGGGGATTCATGGAGAGGCCTATGGAGGATACTTTGCTCCAGAGCTCCCCAAATATTCCTCAAAAGGAATGTTTATTTTTGTCACAGAAGCTTCTAGTTATAGCTTCAAATACATATATATGTTTGCCAATTTCAGGGTTCTTCTTACTATTTTAAATTTAATTGCACCAGTAAAGAGAAGGAAAACTACCACTTTTCCTGCCACTAAATCCTAACCTCAGTCACATTGCTACATTCTACAATAACAATCAAAGGCAAACCCTAAATGTTCCTTTCAGATTTGTAGTAAAAGGTCAATTTTCTGTCCTTAAGAAATTAAAGTTTGTTGTTTTGTTTGTGATAATTGACAAATTGAGAATTTCTGCTATCACCTTTAATATTGGATATCTTTTTTTAATAAAGTCCTAGAAAATCTTTTTTTTTAAATAAAGAATGCTAAGAAATTGTATTTATAAATGAACTGTAAAACTATAAAAATTTCTAGTGATAATTTTACAGAGCAATATGCATTTGTACACAGATATGTGTTAAAAAGATCTCAAGACCACCCACAGGTATCACACATGGCCTAGAACCTGAAAAGAATATTGGAGAAACCTGAGGGGGGGCGGAATTCTCAGAGGTGGATACAATTATTAATTTCCATGGCAGTCCTAGTAGCATTTGTTGAATTTGTTAGGAAGAAGAGAGAAAAAAAGAGGAAGATGAAGAATTGTACAAAAACATATGGGAAATTGTCTGCATGCATGGGCTGCGATAGTCACATTTTCCATCATTTTCTTTCTACCGCCATTCAGGAAGAAGACAACAAGGGCTTTGTTCAACTTGATCATCTCATCAAAAAACAAAAAGAGAGACAGATAAAGAATGAAAGTTGGGAGGCAGGAGTAAATGGGTATGATCTGAATGCATATTTGTGTTACATCTAATACAACCAGCTTCATAGACGAGCAAGATCAAATAAATGGTAAAACCTGACAAAGGGAAGAATAGATGGTATGTGGAGCCATCTGTTTTGGAGGACACCCAAGTCTGTCTGAATCTGCCGGGCCAAACTACCAGCTATTCTAAGATCCTCCATTCCAAGAGTAGTCTCATACACATCCACACAATCAGCTTCTCTCACCAACACTTTGGCTGCAACTTTTTTGTGCAATTAAGTAATTTATTCCTTTCTTCTTCCTCCTGATTCTAATGAATCCAAGCCACAAACAAGCCCCAGTTGCTCCTATTCAAGGAGTCTGATTGCATCTGGCAGTAATTGCTGAAAATCCTGAAGAGGAAACAGGGAAGGAAAGCATATTGTTTGTGGGGGTAATAGGTGAAGACCTGCCTCTCTTGACCTATAATACATTAGTGTCAGTGAACATTTGGCAGCCTTCAGATGATTAGCAATGAAGATGAATCAAGCAAAAAAAAAAGGAGGTAGAAATCTGCCTCATCTGAATCACCAGAACTGCATACATTTGCATGTTGATGAGCCATTCCTTTGTCTGTGTTTCTAATTATTATGACACGTTATGTCTTCATCACACAAGATTCTGATCTGTCTTGTTCAAAATGCATGTAAAAAAATCCTGTTTATTGATTCAACATGTAACTTTAATTTTTATGTTTGCTTTAATTAAATACATATTTGCTTCCCTTTGACTTATGTCTCCGAAGGTTTTTTTTTCCTTATTGTACTATTCTTTATTTCATCCTGTTGACAAACAAACAGGTAACCTTTATTATGTTCCAATCGCTTACTAAGGAAAATCTGTTTCCTTCCCTGTAGTATTAGAATACGATTAGTCAAATATAGATAAAATACAGACAGTTTCTACAATAACTAAAATATTAACAGAACTCAAGCATTTCTCAGGACAAAAATTGATGTCTCTTTTAGGTTATATCAGGGACTCAAAATTCTCCTTGTCATAACCATCAGGATTTTTAAAAATAATTTCATGAATATCAGTAATCTAGATATCCTTCATTTTATAAATATGATATAGAGGCCAGCTGTGATGCCCACTATATGGCGCTGCTTTTGAAGATGACTCAGCAGCTTCATTTGGTCCAGATATACAAGCTGTGGTGGTGCAGTGGTTAGAGTTCAGTACTGCAGGCTACTTCTGCTGACTGCTGGCTGCCTACAATTTGGCAGTTCAAATCTNTCTATCTATCTATCTATCTATCTATCTATCTATCTATCTATCATCTATCTATCACCTAACTATCTCTGTATCTTGATCTATTTACTACTATCTATTTTTCTATCTAATCATTTATCAAGTGACCCCTTTTTTCCAGATCTCTCTATTAAATCCTCAAAAAAGAGATTTTTGGCAAAAAGATTCTTGCTCACCAGGTTCACACACCTTTGACATTAATAATGGCTTTTGAATCAGCAATATAATATCTTCAGAAGTTGGAATGTTCATTGTGTAGTTTCTAGATGTGGATAGTTTCCTGCTAATTGTGCAACATTTGGGTCTTTTTATGTAGGTTCCACATCAATCTGAAAGCAGGGAACGATACTGCCTTCCATCTCAACCCACGGTTTGATGAGAACGTGATTGTTCGAAACTCTAAACTCAACATGAGCTGGGGGTCAGAGGAGCGAAACCTGCCCTATGGGATGCCTCTGATGCGTGGCCAACCCTTTACCGTAAGTCAAAGCAGTCTGGTTGCCCCACCCGGGCCCGAAGATCGTGTGAACTGACTTAAATTTGCATTTATCAGGCTAGCCTAATGCATAGATTTCAGGATCCTTGGTTCGCCCACACAATAACCCTCTTTTAAAAGCTACACTGCTTACAATGAAAATTAGGACTGGATTTTTGGTCATAAGTTGGTGAGGTTGTAAGTCAAGTCATCCTGTTACCAGACCTGATTTTACAACCACTTTTACAGTGGCCGTAAAGCAAATCACTGTTTTACAGTTCAGTCACCAACTAAAATCACTGTTAAACCTCAACTAGCAATAAATATCAGAACCATGGTTAGCACAACATAAATAGCCAAATAAAACAATACATTATACTATGTTACTAATAATATAATGTATAAATAATATGGTATAATGCAATGTATCCATTTCAACCTTATTGCTAAGCATTTATTCTGAATTAAATTTGTAAAATTGAAATATGATTCTAAGGTAAATCCAAATTTGGGGTGCAGTACCAATCCATGTACTGGGTTAAAGTCGCAGAACTGAGTTAAAATCTGTATCAAAGTTACTTTTAGTTGTTCTGGATACTCATCATTTAGTGACTGAGGACATCATCAGAACTTGCAGGTGCTTCTGTGAAACACCTTTGCTGCTTTCCTGTCTGGGAAATGGGCAATTTGTGATGTTCATAGATAAATAAAATAAGAATTTAAAGACCTGAGTTATACTATCGGGTCCCATTAAAGTGATCACAAATGTGCATTTTCTTTTTATAGATCTGGATTCAGTGTGAAGGACACTGCTTTAAGGTGGCTGTGAATGGACAACATCAGTTTGACTACAAGCATCGCATATGTAACCTGCTTCAGATAAATATGCTCGAAGTGGACGGTGATGTAACGTTGACCAACATCCAAGCTTAGAGTTGCTTGTTTGTGGATGGATGGGTGCAATTGATGTGAAATGTTGAGCTTTACTACCTAAAGTTTGAATAATTGCTCTTTTCAGTGTTTAAGAACCATAGAATTTCAGGTTTTTCCCCCTCCCAATCTAATTGTTTGAATAAACCCTTTTTGTTAATAACCTAGTTTTGTTTGCTGACTCACGTGTGGTAAACTGACATTCTGATCCCGAATTAGACACCTTGGGAATTTCAGGATTGTATCTTTCCTTTTTGCTGCTTTAAGCTCTAGAATTTAAGTAATTGGGGGGAAAATTTCAATGGGACAACCGCCAATAATATTCCTGACAGATAGTGCCCAATTTATTTGGGCGGTGTCAGAGTATTTAAAAAGTACTTTGCTTGCTGAAAAACAGCTTACAAAATAATAGTCTCTGTCTTTGAATTTACAATATAAAATGACGGGGTTCCCCATTCCCTCCCTACTCCTGGGGGAAGGATACTTCAAAATTTCCTTCCCTCCCCTCTCCAAGGGAAGGATACTGTAAAATCCCCATCACCTCCCCACTCCGGGGGAAGGATACTGCAAAATCCCCATTCCCTCCTCACTCCTGGGGGATGGATACTGCAAAATCTCCATTCTCTGCCCACTCCTGGAGAAGGTTACTGCAAAATGCCCATTTCCACCTTACCCCACTAATCTGCTTCCCAGCTCTGTTCTCCTGTGCAGGGCAACAAAAGAAGACCAAGCCGANAAAAAATGTGTAACAGAAGAAAATAGAAATAATAAGTGTTAATGAGAGTTATTCCCAACATTTTGGATTGTGTGTGGCAACACTGCTGCTATAAATATAGACAATAAAATAGGTTAACAGCCAATATTTTTTTCCTGGATGAAAGATTTGTTCTGCTCCAGTTGATGACTTCAAAAAACAGCAGGTTTGCTGCTATATAGGAAGGGGATGATTGAGCTCAGTCCAGATCAAATATTGAAAGTTGACAGCTGCATGCATGACTGAAATTGAAACAAGTCTCAATTGTTGCCTCAACAAAGGAAACCTCTGAATAAACTTTTTGGACTATTACAGGTCAGGCTATTGGTTCCACTCACTGTGGGAAATGGACCTCGACAGGAGATACCTGGGTAGGCAAGAGCATCTCTGTGCTCTGGTAGACCACAGATTAAGCATGAACCAGCAGTGTGCTGCAGCTGCCAAAAGAGCCAGTGCAATCATGTGTTACATCAATAGAGATACAATGCCAATTCATCTTGGTGAACTAAGGATCAGAAGGCTAAAGGGAGACATGATCCTTGAAGGACTTCCACAGGGAAGTGGGTGTGGATTTATTCTCCCCAGTGCCTGATTATAAAACAGGAACCATTTGATGGAAGCTTTACAGAAAGGGAGATCAATACAAGATAATATATGTAACTCAGGCTTGAACCGTGGAGCCTTTGCTGCTTCCTGTGCTTGGTTGTTTGGTTGCAGATATTTCGTTACCAGATTAGGTAATATCTTCATCAAGAATGGAAATGCAGTTTGTTATCTTTTTATATACAGTGGCTTGCCCTGTTAGTGGGTGTTGTTTTCTCCTTAACAGTTCTTGATAAGGTTATTGTTTACACACTATTCAACAGAGAGATAAATATGCTAAAAAGGAGAAAGAAAGGTTACATCACTTCCAAATCAGCAATCAGGGATTAACAGGGATTAACGCCATGATTAAAACCAGACAAATGATCAAGTTGTAAAGAACAGCTTAATCAAAGAACTACCAAGAAGAAAACAATAGCTTCACCAAGATTTTACCGTGGCACAACATAACCGCAAACGTCAAAAGCGCGCCGACAACACCACGGCGCTAAAACTGTGATGTCAAAAGCGCGCCGACAACAGCGCACCAACAACAGCGCGCTGACAGAAGCGTGATTTAACTTAAGGTAAGGTTTAGGGTTAGGTTTAGGGTTAGGTTTAGGGTTAGGTTTAGGGTAGGTTTAGCGTTAGGTTTAGGGT